CCAGGGAGGGGCAGACGGCCTCCAGAGCACCCCTAGGCCTCCAGAGGGCCCCGTGGGCTCTGCAATGGTGCGGGAATCTCGAGGCACCCTGCACCAAGGCCACCTCCAGAGGTCTCTGCTGGAAGCCTTTGGAGGTTCCCGGAGGTTTCCAGAAGCCTCCGCGGACCCCAAAAGGGCGCCTGAGGCCCTCCGACGGCCCCTCGAGGGCCACCGGGAGGCCTTCGACGGCGACCTCCGAGCGATCGCTAACGCAACCGCCGCTGCATCATGCGGCCGCCACCACCGCTGCGCCCGCCCACCGGGACGCCTTTGGTGACCGCGACTGGCGATCGACCTGCCGCACCCGGAGCCGCCGATCTTGAGTGCCCCCCGGGCCTGGGAAGGGCCCGCGGAGGTCGAAGACTGTCTCGAGCCGCCAGACGTCTGGGCACCTTCCTGGGATCGGCCAGCTTTGCGTCCCGGGGCCGTGTCGGAGGTCCCTGGTGCCCCCGAGGAGGGGCGTATGGGGTATGGGCTCCATACGTGTTTTTTCGATGTTCCCGGACCCCCCCCCACTAGAAATCGAGGGTAAATCTGACCCCTCGGGTTGGGTTGGGGTGGTTTGGTGGGTGGTGAACACTGCGCCAATCAAAGAATTACCTTCAGAGCCGGGCGCTGCAAGTTTGTCCACACCGGGTGCTTTCGCCCGGCTTCGGGCCCCGGGGCCATCACAGGTCAATCCGGTTCGAAGAAGCCGCCGAAAAGGCGTCGATCGCGACTTTTCCATCTTGTTGCAAGCTGATCGCAGCGTCGGATCGGAGGGCATCCTGGCCAGCCCTCCTGCCAACGCCAACCAACCCTCCGGCCAACCCCGCCAAACCCTGGCCAACGCTGGCCAACCCTCCCGACCAACCTCTCATGGCCAGCCCCGGTTCGCGGAAAGCTCGCCATGAGGCACAACAGGCACAACCGTTCGGAGGCTCGCGCGCAACTTCACAAGTTGGCGTCGCTGCTTCTCTGTAGTCGTCGTGCTACCAGAAGGAACGATGGATAAGGAACGAAGGGGCGTTTCTGGCCACGGCGAGCCTCGGCCACGAACAGGTTCCTCGATCGAGGCCAAAGGAACGGCCCCGAACTCATAGCCCCTCCTGAGCCCAGGGAGGTCCTTCTTTCAGCACCTGGACTGTATTCGGCCAGAGTTCCCGACGACCCCTTCCCCTGGGGGGCACTGCCACTGCTTGTCCTGGCTGCCTGATAGCCCCGCCGCTGCCGAGAAACAAGCAGGGAAAGAGAGAGAGAGAGAATGAGAATGAGAATGAGAATGAGAATGAGAATGAGAATGAGAATGAGAATGAGAATGAGAATGAGAATGAGAATGAGAATGAGAATCAGAATGAGAATGATAATAATTTTAACAACAAAAAGAACTTCTGCCAGAGGCCGGGGAGCACAGGGAGTCGAGGGACGGCACTGGCTCGGCGCGCCCAGAGGGAGAAATGAGAAGGGGCGCGCCTTCTCAGAAGGCTCGGAAGTCCCCGGGACTTCTGAAAGGTTCCTAAACCTTCCCCGAAGACACAGAAAACGTCTCAGAGGGCGCGAGGGCTTTTGAGAAGTCCCGCCGCGTTCTGGGAGGAGGACCTTCTCCTTCTCACTTACCCCCCCTTCGCTCGCCACCCACAAGCGCAATAGAAAGCCGACCGAGCCGACAGCAGAGCCGAAACCGGCAGAGATCGAACCTGCCGGAAGCGGCCGAGGAGGACACAACGACGCGGCAACAACGCCACAGCCGACGGGCCCGAACAGATCGAGTGCGGACGACCGCGGCGCAGCCGAACCTGGGTCACCTATTTCCGCGCCTCGCACCCAGCGATGCGCGACGAGGACCATCTTCGCGCACCCGTTCCCCCACGCCGCCCCCTCGGAGAAGGGCAATCGCTCTAGCCCAGACCGCGACGTGCGCAGCGCGAGTATCCTGGCGCCCCCGCGCGCGTCACAGCGAACCGACCGAAACGCGCACACCCTTGAGAGGTGTCCACGAGATCCGATGCCTTGACTCTTTGCAGCACGGGCCCTGGAGGAGGAACATGGGGAGGATGAGGAGGATGGCTCCTCTTTCTTCCTCCTCCTCGTCCTCCTCCTCCTCCTCATCATCATCAGCATCATCAGCATCCGCATAATAATCATCATCATCATCATCATCATCATCATCATCATCATCATCATCATCATCATCAGCATCAGCATCAGCATCAGCATCAGCATCAGCATCATCATCATCACCATCATCATCGTCGTCGTCGTCATCATCATCATCATCATCATCATCATCATCATCATCATCATCATCATCATCAGCATCATCATCATCATCACCACCATCATCATCATCATCATCAGCAGCAGCAGCATCATCAGCGTCATCAGCAGCATCATCATCGTCATCTGCATCATCACCATCGGTGGTTCCTTCCTCTCCTTCCTCCCCAGAGGTCCGATGTCTTGACTTGCTCAGTGCGGGGCACCTGGATGTTCCGACCCTTTCCTCAGAGCCAGTTTTTCGTCCCGAATCGTTTTCTGACGGTCCTGGGGCCGGGCGAGGCCCCCCCCCAGAGGCCGAAATCAACGACACACACATAACAAAAAAAAAAAAAAAAACGTACCACAGATTCGTGATGTGCCGACTTCGGCGTTGATTTCTGACACCGCAGGGATCGCTCAACCTTGAACGATCGGCCGTTCCCCAACAACAGATCGTCCAACATCGACCCGCCAGCCGCGTTCAACGTTGAACGCCAGCGGCGGGGTCGTTGCTGGTCGACACGACGCGAACCTACCATACGGCCAGACCTAGGACAGAAGAACATCTTTCAAGCATATGAGACCCTCTGCCGGCCAAACTGAAGAACATTCGAGTTTACCCTCCCCCAGGATGCACAAGAGCATCCGACTAACATGAAGAACACTAGGCTGCCCTCCCCGAACCGACCTCGATCTTATACCTCGGTCCGACCGTACAATCTTTACCCTGGGCGTCCTGCTTGCTCGCAAGCGGCACGAACGCCGAAGCCTTGCTCGTGAGCGGCGTGCGCCCGCCGCCCGACGCCGGCGTCCGGGCGAGCGCCGCGGCGGGCGACTTCTCCTCTGCCTTTCCAGGGAAGCTCGACGGCTGAAGCCCGAGGTCGAGACTCGAGGGCCGGGGCCAAAACCGAAAAACAGGTTCCTGGCGAAGGACCCAACCATATGCAGTTGTGGGTACCGCAATTGTGAATATCTTCTTCGGTGAAGCTCCCTATGGGGCCACGAAGCGCTGCACTGGGGGGGTGAAAATGCCAAATTGAGTTTTCGGGACGCATGCGGGCGGTCCCACTGAAGGCTTCGGTGGAGCTCCCTATGGGGCCACGAAATGCTGTACTGGGTGGGCGAAAATGCCAAATTGGGCTTTCGGGACGCATGTGCACGGTGGCACTGGGGACTTCGGTGGAGCTCCCTCTGGGGCCACGAAACGCTGTACTGGGTGGGTGAGAAGGCAACATGGGGTTTCGGGGACGCACGTGGACGGTAGCACCAGGGGGTTCGGTGGAACTCCCTATGGAGCCACGAAACGCTTTAATGGGTGGGTGAAACGCAGGGAAGAGGGAGGAGGGGGAGGAGGAGGTTGCTGATGCGACGCGCGACTGTGCTGTGTGCGTGCTCGTACAGTGCAGCTAGCCTTGTGGGTGGCGCTTAGGACCAGAGTCCACCACTTTCGCCACCACAAGACTAACTCCCGAAGGTGAAAAAGTCGGGAGCCCGTTCCCCCACGGGGCATATCTCTGAAAAACGAACCACGGAGAACTCCCTCGGCACTCCACGGAGCTCTTCGAGCATGCTCAGCTCTGGCTCGGTCGGCGCGGCGAGCCTTGGCTGCCGCTCGGTTGGCCTCGATGCGGGCTCTCTGGGCCTCGCTCAAGGCCGGGGGAGGAGGAGGAGGAGGAGGAGGAGGAGGAGGAGGAGGAGGAGGAGGAGGAGGAGGAGGAGGAGGAGGAGGAGGAGGAGGGGGGACAACGGACGGCGACGCCGACAACGTCGGAGGGACAGGAGGCGAGGAGGGAGATGGAGGGCCAAAATGGCCAATGCCGAGATAGGCAGCCGCATCATCCTCGTCTGCTGCGCCCGCAGCGGCATTCTGGGACGCTATGGATTGTTGCTCTTCCTCTGCGTCCGCAGAGGGCTATTGTTCCCCAAGGGGGTCTGGAGCGTGTTCCGATTGAACCCTGTGCCTTTCGGGGTCAACTCCGCGTTTGCCCAGACTGGGGCGGGCCCCAAAGCCCGAGGGAATCGAACATCTGTTATCATCCTCACTGGTCAGCGGGACATAGAAATCCAACAGGGCCTGTAGCACGACTGGCTGTTCGTAGTCGTAAAGAAAACCGGCGACGTCCGACGACGCAAACTGAGCCACCGAGGAACAAATCGACCGAGCGAGGGCCTCACAAAGGCCCGTCGGGTAAACCTTCTTGCCAGCCGTGCGAAACTTCTGATCCTCTTGGCGTTTGCCAAGCAGGGTCATGTAGGAACCTCTGTCATGACTGCAACGGCCACCTCCTGGAGTATTACAGAGATGGCTGGGGAGATCTGGCATGCGAATCCCTAGAATCCTGGTTGGCGCTCGCCCCACGGTAGCTGGGCCTGTCCCAGCTGGCCTACGTTCGCACTGATCAATGTCCGTGACAGTGGCAATTGGGGAGGAGGCGAGAGCAATAAGAGGGCGCCAACGAAAGGAGGTGGGAGCGGAGGGAATCCAAGTCACGGGAACAGGGTGCTCAAGCCATCCAGATGTCCCAACCTTCAGATGTTCGGCCAAAAGAAAGACGATGACATGTAGCAACTGGGGGCCTACTTCTAATTTTGTGCGCCTGTCTCCTGGTACAATGCGGCGCACCCCAGACATGCTGATTCGTGAGGAGCGGGGGGGGGGCCCATCGTACCATCGGGCCCTGGACCACGTCTCGCAGGGCCCCCCCTTAGTGTTGAAAACGCGCCGAGAACGGATGTGGTCAGCCCAGGTGTTCAAAGCATCATGGCGGGTGAGGTCGCCTCTGGAAGAATCAACGACGATGTCTATAGACAAGCAATACAAGGAAAATCTGGAGTCCACCGCCTCACGTTCTAGATTCCACTGTATGTCTCCTGTACGTCTTATGCCTGAGAAAAGATTCAGCACGAATATTTCAGGTCGCTTGATACGAGCTGGGATGGGCGAGGCAGTCTCTCTTGCGAAATCCTGGGGCCGAAAGGGCCAAAATCGGTCCGGAGGAGGGATGAAGGAAGAGGGAGGAGGGAGAAAGGAACGCGGGGACCGTCTCTTCAAAACAAGGACCCAACACCACAGGACGGTTGGGAATTACCCTGGCGACGGACCCAACCATATGCAGTTGTGGGTACCGCAACTGTGAATATCTTCTTCGGTGGAGCTCTGTATGGGGCCACGAAGAGCTGCACTGTTTTGGGGGGTCGCATGCGGGCGGTAGTACTGGGGCCGTCGGTGGAACTCTCTATGGGGCCACGAAACGCTGTACTGGGTGGAGGGGGGACGCATGCGGGCGGGCGGGGGGGACGCATGCGGGCGGTAATACTGGGGCCGTCCGTGGAGCCCCCGATGGGACCACGAAACGCTCGACAGGGTGGGGGGGACGCATGCGGGCGGTAGCACTGGGACCTTCGGTGGAGCTCCCTATGGGGCCACGAAACGCTGCACTGGGTGAGGGGGGCGCATGCGGGCAGTAGCGCTGGGACCTTCGGTGGAGCTCCCTACTGGGCCACGAAGCGCTGTACTGGGTGGGGGGACGCATGTGCGGGCGGTAGACCTGGAACCTTCGGTGGAGCTCCCAATGGGGCCACGAAACATTCTACTGGGTGGGGGGGACGCATACGGGCGGTAGCACTGGGGCCTTCGGTGGAGCTCTCTATGCGGCCACGAAGCGCTGTACTGGGTGGGGGGGACACATGCGGGCGGTAGCACTGGGGCCGTCGGTGGAGCTCACTATGGGACCACGAAACGCTGTATTGGGTGGGGGGGGCGCATGCGTGCGGTAGCACTGGGGGCTTCGGTGGAGCACCCTATGGGGCCACGAAACGCTCTACTGGGTGGGCGAAATACAGGGAGGAGGGAGGAAGGGGAGGAGGGGGAGGGAGGAGGGATGGAGGAAACAGGTGAACGCAGGGACCGTCTCCTGAAAACGAGGGCCCGACACCACAGGATGGTTGGGAACAAAAAACCTTGTCGAACCCAGCACCTTGACCCTGTCCGCTCTTCCTGCTGGCCGGAACCAGTGCTGGGCGACCCGAGACCCCCAGCCAAACTCCGACTTCGAGCCCCTCCCCGCCGCCAGGGGCACTCCTGCGGCGTGTCGCCGAGATCAGACCAGGGCAGTGTCGGCACCCGCTCTCGGTCGCGGCCCGCCTCCGGGGGCTCCAAGCGGGAGCCACGCACGAGCGCGCAGGCCCGCGCCAGGGGGGGCCCTGCGGGCCCGCACCAGGGGCCCGATCTGGCGAGGGGCCGCGCCTGCGCAAGCCCCGTATTCCGCGGGTTCGCGGCCCGGGGGCCCGGCCCGCGAGGCCGTGGATGCGGCCACGCTTCCGCCCACGACGTATGGCGAGGCATTGGTCACCACGAGCTGTGGCAAGAGGGGGAGGGCCAGGGGATCGGTGGCGGCTCGCGCCACGGCTGTCGGTGCCTGGAGGCCCCTCCAGGGGCCCCGTGGCTGTCAGGCACCAGCTCGGACAAAAGGGGGGGAGGACGGTCGAGAGGTACAGGGGCGGGCGACTCGAAAGCATCGAGTCGTCCGAGGTCCGTGTGCGCCTTCTGTAGCAACCCATGGAAGCCTCCCATACCATCTTGCTGGCTCTTGCGAATCGGAGCCAATCTACGCTAGCCGACGCTAAATCAACGCTGAATCGACTCTGATCGACGCCAAATCGGCGATACCCCATCAATTACCCGACGCTGACCGATGCTAGCGCACCCTGAAGACGCAACAGCGAGGGTAGTCGAGGCCCCCATGATCTGCTACCGAATGTCGGGGGGGACGAAAGGGGGGGATAGCAAAGGGTAGGACGGTAGAGAATCAGCTCACGTAGCTGATTTTTCCAGCGCCTCCTGGCGCTGGGAGGCGCCCGTGTATCGAGGAATGGGCCCGGCGGCGGGGCCGAAACCAGCCGCATGCAGCGGATTTCGTAACCCCCCCTTACATATCCACCGCATCTCGAGGACTCCAAAAATGCGTCCTCCAGGCGGTGGATATGTAGAAGTCCCCGCCTCGGACGCGCGCGGGCGAACGGTTCACGCGTCCCCATGCCTTGGGGGCCCAGCCGCACTGGGCGAACGGGAGGCCGAACTGCAGGTGCGGGGCGCGGCCCACCGGCGAGGCACAGCGGGCTCCTCGCGATCCCACAACAAAGCCACAGGCCTTGGCCGTGGCTTCTTCGAGTAGGAGATCGACTACAAAGTTGATGTACGCCAGACTTGTTCTTTCGCCGAATATAGACAACACATAGAAAGAATGCGCGCAGATCTGCAAACATTCTACGTTTTTTTGTTGTCTCAGGGATTCGACAAGAAAATCAGGTTTGGCGAACATCAATTCCCCCTACTCACCTTCTGAAGGGACAGTTCCTCCAGAGCTCCTGGCCCTAACCCCAAGACTGGTCTTCGGCGAGCGCTTTGTGCCGCCATGACTCTTTCGCGACGCGCACCCCCCACTCCCTGAGCTCCAGGCCCCATTCCTGGGGCATTCCCTGGGGCCGGGAAGGACCCGTCGGGAGCACCAGATCGGAAGGCCCAGCCATCGTGATCTTCGGACGCAAGGCCCAGAGGTCTGCGAACGGGCACGTCTCAAACGAGGGCACTGGCAAAATACAGGGGGAAAACGAAGAACAGAGATGGGCTCGGGTCCAGGCTGCCCCTGGGGGGTGGGATCCCCTCCCAGCCCTCCTCGAGGAGGGGTGGGAGCGGGATCTCAGGGAAGGGGATCCGCTTCCCTGGGCCCGACTTCGCGACAGAAGTGCAACATCGTAAAAAATCACGGCCTGAGCAATCAACAAATCTTTCTACTACATTTTCCGAGCTGGATCGAGGTGGCGAGTCCCCCCTACCCTGGGAGGACGCCCGGCGTGAACAACATTGCAACGCCCAGATCTCCAGGTTCGCCTCCTCCCCCCTCCTCCCCCCTCTCCTATGCATCCCCGCTGTCCTCCCCCTCCCCTTCGCCTCCCAATCCCCCGCCTTCCCATCCCTCTCCCGTGCATCTTTTTCCCAGCTTACTGCAGGCTACTAAATTGCCCGTCTGGTTGCGCCGAGCCTCAGGACACGGTCCCCGGCGCCGAGCTTGTGGCGAGGGAGGGCTGCTCTCGCGCTCGAGCTGCGTTCTGGCTGTGCTCCTGCCTGGGCTCGCCCCCGAACCAGCGACGATGAGCAGCTAACGCACCGCGGGCAGACAAACCTTCCCCTGCCCCTCCCCAGACATCCGACACCGCGAGTTGAGTCACGACGCCACTCTCCCGACTGGTCTGGACTCCTCTCCAGGGGCCAGATTTTCACACCGAGCCGCTTCTTGACGGCCCTGGTCGTAATTTTCTCACGGCGCGAGGATGGGAGGGCCTCTCAACTGCCCGGATACACAACACGCAACCCGTAGCGTGCTGACACAGAGTTCAACAAATAGACTCTGGCGCGATAAGTTCGCCAAAACGTGGGCCAACTCGCTGAGCCGACACGCAGCGTGCTAACACAGACGCTTTGAGCACGGTGCGTGTTGCATTTCAAAACGGACGTATCAGGGCAGCTAAGCAGGGTCCCTCTCCCCCCCTGGGCTCCGTCCCACTCGTCTGCGTCGTCGGTCAGGTCGGCCCAACTCTCGTGGCGCGCCGAGCTGCCCTCGCTACGGGCGTCCGCGGCATCCGCGTCGATGCCGGCGGCCGTGCAGAGACTGCACATGGAGGGCCACGAGCTCGTGCGGCGGAGGCCTCGCGGGCTGGGCAAGGGCCAGGGACGTCTGGGGAAGGGACTTGGGACGGCAGGGTTGTGATGCTGCATCGTTGATGCATCCTGGACTTGGCTGCCCCGATACGCAACGCGCCACCCGTAGCGTGCTGGCACGGAGCTCAACGCACAGATTGAAAACGTAGGTCTGGCGCGATACGTTCGCCAAAACGTGGGCAAACGCGTGCCGAACCAACATGGTTGCGGTACGTGTTGCGTTTCAAAACGGACGTCTCAGGGCAGCTAAGACCCTGGAAGATTGATCCTCGGGGAACTGGGCAGGTGGACAAGGATATATTCGGGCCCCCATGGGGCCAAAACCATATCCATATCCACCGCCCCACGGGCTCCCTGGACATCATTCCCCAGGCAGCGGATATGGATAATTCCCCGCCTTGCAAGGAGCGGTCGGCATCGGATCGATCGATCGGATCGGATCGGAGCGCTCGTCGGACACAGAGTCGAGATCGAGTCGGAACTGCCGCGCCACGACAGACAACAGCGCCGTGCAATCAATCATCGAGCCGCATCGGATCGTCGGGGCATCGGGTCGGACGAGGCCGGCCCGAATCGACATCGAATCGGTCTCAGTGGATCGAAATGGACCCTGAAAGTGGAGTCAAGGAAAGGGGCGATCAGCGAATCGGCCCACGTAGCGGGTTTTCGCGGCGCCGGAAGCGGCCATGTATTAGCGAGGGAAGCGGCTCAGTGGCGGGGCCGAAACCCGCTTCACGCCGCAGAATCGTCCCGCCGCCTCCACAATTCCTCTCTTTCCGTTCGCCCCGAACCTCGCGTGGCGTTGGTGCCGGCGTCCTCCTCCGAGCTGATGAATTCCACGAAGGTGTTCTTGATCACCCTCCTGGACTCAGACATCTGCGCCATAGATAGCTGTATGGATTGATTATGGACTGAGAGTGTAAATGGATTGTTAGAGCGATCCTCGAATCCAGCCCAAGATTGCAGGGGGATTGCGGCTTTGGGACAAACGGCAGCTGAGAACATACGCCTTGACGCGGCTGCCCGCTTACACGGATCTCACGCCTGACCCGATTTTCGGCGCGTCTCCGCGGCCTGTCCACAGCAAACCTGGCGACGATCGACTCGCAAACCACGCCCTGCCCCACATGCCAATCTCAGGCTTGAGGGCGAGATCAGGCGAGGCCATCACCCACGGGTGACTGCTGATGCAGCGTTTCTTCATGAAGTGGCGCGCACTACCATCATCCGTGCTGAACAGGTTAAGCATACACTTATAAGTCTTCCTCTGCTTGCTCAACTATGGCTACTTGCAGCGTGATCGAAAAGTTTGGGCATGCCGCACTGCTGGGACCCGGCTGTCGCCCTGACAGGGCCACGACGCAGCCGCGCATGCGCGCGCGCGAGATGCACATGTCCGAGGCGGGCGGCGTCTGCTGGGGGCGAGGGCGAGGAACACACAGGGGCGTCGGGCCCCTCCGGAGGCCCCAAACCCAACAGAGGTCGGCGCGCTGCGGGCTTGACCGGAACACGAGGACGGAAGTCCTCGACCCAGCAGCGGAATTCTCCTGGCGAAGGACCCAGCCACATGCAGTTGTGAGCACCGCACTTGTGAAAGCACCATATTGACCGCCACAAAACGTGTGAGAGGAGAGGCGTGCCGAAACGGGCATGGGAGTGCATGCGGGCCTGGCCACTAGGGCCCTCGGTGGAGTTCCCTATGGGGCCACGGAGCGTGTGAAATACCGAAATGAGCCTGGGGACGCATGCGAACTGTGCCACTGGGGCCTTCGGTGGAGCTCCCTGTGGGGACACGACATGTGTGCGGAGTGTGCCGAAATCGGTGGGGGAACCGAATGTGAAACCCTCCTCCCAGGGCTTTGGTGGAGCTCCCTAGTGAGGGGGAGGGGCGGTCGAAATGGGTGGGGAACCGCAAGCGAAACCCCCTTCCAGGGGGCTTCAGTGAAACTCTCTGTGGGGCTACGAAGCGTGTGAGGGAAGTGCCGAAATGGGTGGGGAACCGCATGTTGGGACTTTGGTGGAGCTTCCTTTGGGGCCACAAAACGTGTAAGGGGTGTGCCGAATATGGATAGAACTGCAGGCATCCCCCCCTACGTCCCCGAGGGCTTCGATGGAGCTCCGTATAGGGCCACGAAATGTGTGAGGTGTGCGCGTGCGCCGAATTACGCATGTGGAGGGCAGAGGCAGGGATGGGAGGAGGGAGAAGGGAGGAGAGGCGGAGGAGACGCCAGGCGCTGTTGACTCGAAACGAGGACCCAACACCACAGGATTATTAGAAGAGCGGCACTGAAGGCCGCGCTGCTGGCGATTACGGGGAAAAGCGATGTGGGCATTACGGTCAGGCACGTGGTTTACTTAGCGTGTCGGGGCGGCGGGCCCGGCGACACACTACGCCCTGCAAGCGGATAGCGTGTCGCTCCGCCCCGTAGGGCGGGAGGCCCGGAAAGGCTTGGGGGCTGGGACGTCTTTGGCGCGTCGCGCCGAAGCGTGGTGGGCCAGAACCGGCGGCGCGACGCGCTGAGCCAACGTGCCCGACCGCAGACGAATGCATAGGGAAACAAACAATTACATAAGCATAAAAACTCGGAAGTCCGCGCTGATCCCTCGAAGGGGCGGCGCCAGGGCCGCCGCCAGGGGGCACCCGCACCGATCCGAGGAATCCGCGCGGACCTCCGAGGTTGGATGGTTATGCCGTTGCTAGTTCCCCGAATGCAGAAAATGCACTCAGCTCTGGCTGCCCGTGGCATGGTCGATGGCAATATCAGGGATGCGCCCCCAAGAACTGAGGAAATCCTTGAGACCGGCATCGGGAGAAGTTGATACCCATCAAAACTACTGGGATCGGCTACACGTAAGAGTGACCCTAAGGAAGAGTGACCCTTGGCGCGCGGCTTCAGGTGGGCGCGGGGGGGGGGGGGCCAAACGCGAGCGCGCCGGCCGCTGCCATCGCATCGCGTTCAACCATCTGGGGGCCCCAGCGCTCCCGTACCAAAGGCCACTCCGGCGAAGGGCAACTCTTGCGCGAAGCCGAGGGGATGTAGATATGCTTCAGGGTGGTAAGCGAGCATGTTTCATTCGCGGCGATAACGGGCGTTATGGGAGTGGGGGGGGGGGGGGGAAACAACGTGACGCCGCGCCCCCCACCGTGACAAACTGCGGTGCTGGACGCTCTGCGGCCGTGCTGGGGACGCACTGGGCGGGGGAGCGTTGCGTCATGAGAGGGGGGAGGAGGCGGGGGGGGGGGGGCATGACGCGCGCCATGGCCCAGAGGGAAACAACTCTCGAAGCACACACACACACACACACACACACACCGTCAAGGGAAAGTGGCCGTTCGGCCGGCGTCTCGGCCCCGCGCCCGCCCGTGGGCCCGCCAGGGCCCGAGGCCCACGGGCACCACGGGGCGCCCTCGCGGTGGCCCCCGGCAGGTGGCCCCTCGCTCGGGCTCGGGGCCTGGCTGCCCGCGGCCTGCCGCCGCGCGTGCGTCCTGTCCCTGCCTCGCGGGCTCTGCTCCCCTCCACCGCCTCCTCCTCGCCTCCCCCTGCTAGCTCCCCCCCCCTGCCCCCCTGTGCCTCACCGACCCTCCTCCTCGCCTCGTGGTCGTCCTCGCCCTCCAACTCCTTCCCCATCCCCCTTTATCATTCTCCCTCCCCTGTTCCTCGTCCTCCCCTTCTCGTCCTCCTCTTCGTCCTCTTCATTAATATCAGCCATGTCCTCCTGACTCCTCCTACTTCTCCTCCTCCTCCTCCTCCTCCTCCACCTCCTTCTTCTCCTCACTCCCCGAAGCCTCCGGAAACCTCCTAGCACCCCGGCGCCCCTCCCCCGCCCCCCGAGGGCCCTCCGAGGGAATCCGAGGGGGCCTTCCGAGGGAATCCGAGGGGGCCCTCCGAGGGCACCCGCAGACACCCGAGGGCACCCGAGGGCCCTCGAGGGTCTTCCGGTGGCGCCCCGAGGGCCTCCGACGAGAACCTGCGACCGCCCTTGCCGAAGGCCGCGAGCGGGCGCGTTGCCCTCAAGTGCGCAACAGAATCGAGTGAGTCTTGGCACGCCGCTGTGGCCGCGGCTTCCTCGGCCAGGAGGGTCCCGCCACGGCGCCGCAGAGGAGAGAAGAAGTCAGGATGCAGTCGCGGCGGGTCGGGTCGGACGAAAGAGGAGGATAGCAAAGGAAGGGCTTAACGAATCGCTCGCGCAGCTGGTTTACCCAGCGCCTCCCGGCGCAGGGAGGCGACAGGGCGACAGTATTTCGAGGAAGGGACCTGGGTCGCGGGGCCGAAACCCGCTGCACGCAGCAGACGTTGTGACCCCCCCTTTCGTGCGACCCGAGCGGACGCGTGGCAAAGGCGGGGCGGGGCGCACCCGAGAGCGAGGGTCGTGGTTGGTCGTGCGGCCGAAAGCCGCCGTGGGGCGGCGGTGCCTAGCGGCCGACGACGGACGGGGTCGGAAACGGAGAAAGATTCTCCTCCGCCTCCTCCTCCTCCTCCTCCTCCTCCCCCTCCCCCTCCTCCTCCTCCTCTTCCTCCTCCCCTCCTCCTCCTCCTCCTCCCCGTCCTCCTCCTCCTCCTCCCCGTCCTCCTCCTCCCCGTCCTCTTCCTCCTCCTCCTCCTCCTCCTCCTCCTCCTCCTCCTCCTCCTCCTCCTCCTCCTCCTCCTCATCCTCATCCTCCCCCTCCATCCTCCAAACTCTGTATTCCGACTCATCCTACCCCTCTTCCTCCATCCTCAGTCCTCGAGCATCCTCAACCCTTCTCCTCCGTCCCCTCCTCCATGATTTCCCTCTCCCTTCCTCATCCACCTCCTCCTCCTCCTCCTCCTCCTCCTCCTCCTCCCCCTCCTTCTCCTCATCATCCTCATCCTCCTCATCCTCCTCATCCTCATCATTTTCATTATCGTCCTCTTCTTGCTTTTATTACCCGTCTTCTTAATAGTATTAGTAGCATTCGAAATATTAGTATGAGGAGTATGAGTATTCGTCTTCGGCGCATTATTATTCGTCTTACTGTTTTGAATATTACTGAAAACTATGGGTGTTAAACATAATACTACTGTTGTGTCTATTTCTCAGGGATGGTTGTGTACACTTCTTATTAGTATTATATTAGTTGTCTTCCTCCTCCTCCTCCTCCTCCTCCGCCTCCTCCTCCACCTCCTCCTCATCTTCCTCGTTCCTCTCCTCCTCCTCCTCCTCCTCCGCCTCCTCCTCCTTCTCCTCCTCCTCCTCCTCCTTATCATCATCATCATCAGCATTATTATCATCAGCAGCAGCAGCATCAGCAGCATCATCATCATCAGCACCATCACCATCATCAGCATCATCAGCATAATAATCGAAATGATCATCGTCAGGAGGAGCACCATCATCATAATCACCATTACCATGACCATCATCATCATCATCAGCATCAGCATCAGCATCAGTATCATCATCATCATCATCATCAGCATCATCATCATCATCATCATCATCATCATCATCATCATCATCATCATCATCATCATCATCATCGGCATCTGCATCATCATCAGCATCATCACCATTATCATCATCGTCATTGTCATTGTCATCATCATCATCATCATCATCATCGTCATCATCGTCATCAGCAGCATCAGCAGCAGCATTATCATCATTACCATCATCAGCATCAGCGTCTCCATCAGCATCAACATCATCAGCATCACCATCATCATCAGCATCAGCACCAGCATCAGCATCAGCGTCATCATCAGCATCAGCATCATCACCGGTATCAGCATTACCGACATCAGCATCATCAACATCATCATCGCCAGCAACATCCTGACGTGCGTCATACCCATCAGCATCATCATCATCGAGGGCATTTCCATAATCATCATCATCATCATCAGCATCATCAGCATCATCATCATCATCGTGGTCCTCGGCATCAGCATCATCGGCGTCGTAATCACCATGATCATCATCATGATCATCAGCATCATCATCAGCAGCAGCAGCGGCAACATCATCGTCATTATCACCAGCGT